ACAACGATTTTTATGGAGAGGAGCTGATCGAAACCGTAATCCAGACACATATGAGATGACTACACTCATTTTCGGAGCTACTTCATCACCCTGTTCCGCACAATACGTTATGAACCGTAATGCTGCAGAATTAAAAAAAAAGTACCCCGCATCCGTCAGAGCTATCGAACGCAATCATTATGTGGATGACTACTTAGACAGCGAAGACACTACCGTTCATGATTAGGAGTAAGCTGTTACTTCAGAAAGTCTGGCGTAGCAAGATAGGATGGGACGATAGGTTACGGAAAGAAGAACTCGATCAATGGCACTTATGGTTTTCCGAAATAAGTAAAATGGAATTATATCACATTCAGGGACACTATTTTCATAAAATTAATAAGGCAAAAATCGTCGAATTACACATCTTCAGCGACGCCAGTGACAAAGCGTATTCAGCTGTCGCTTATCTACGGTCGGTCGATATCGACAATAAAGTGTATTTATCATTTGTGGTTGGAAAAGCAAGAGTTGGACCCTTGAAGCAATTATCAATTCCTAAAATGGAACTACAGGGAGCTCTTGTAGCCAGTCGATTGGGAGAAACAATAGTCAAGGAACTAGAGATCTCTATTAATAAGCGAATATACTGGACTGATTCGACTACCGTCCTAAACTGGATCAAAGGAGAACCTAGAAGATTTGAACCCTTCGTGGCCCATCGTCTAGGAGAGATTGACGAGATCACCAACCCGACCGAATGGAGATGGGCTCCATCCAAAGAGAATCCGGCCGATAGCGCAACTAGAGAACTGCCTAATCAAAGGTTAAAACACCATCATCGGCCGTTCAGTTTCTGTGGCATGGATTACTTTGGTCCCATGTCAGTCAGTCACTGTGATGGCACGAAGAAGCAATCCGACGGAAATTTTTTCAGATAATGGAACGAATATGGTGGGAACTAACGCTGAACTAAGAAGAGCTATTAGTGAAATCGACCAGAACGAACTCGAACAAGAACTAACGAACCGCGGTATAAAATGGCGGTTCATACCTCCAGGAACTCCGCACATGGGAGGAAGTTGGGAGAGACTTGTAAGAAGCGTCAAAATAGGGTTGAATGCGGTGTTAAAGTCGAGGGCTCCAAAGGAAGAAGTTCTAGCTACCCTTTTAGCAGAAGCCGAACACGTTGTGAACAGCCGCCCACTCACTCACTTATCTACGGACCATCTGGACAAGGAATGTTTAACACCAAACCATTTTCTCTTAGGATCTTCGTCCGGAGTAACTGTACCGGGAAAATTCACCGACCATGATTTATGTTCACGCAAGTCATGGCGAAAGGCACAGCGACTGGCTGACATGTTCTGGTCAAGATGGATTAAGGAGTACCTGCCGAACTTGGTAGTCAGGAAATGTTGGTCACAAGAGGTAAGAAAATTAACGGTTGGTGACGTAGTAATGATTGCAGACTCGGCTTTCCCAAGGAATACCTGGCCCAAGGGATTAGTTGTTAAAGTAAATCCTGGAAAAGATGGAAGAATTCGCTCGGCGGAAGTAAGTACTAAAGGACGTGTACTAAGACGCTCAGCTTCTAATCTAGTCGTAATAGTTCCAGCTAATAGTACCAATGAATCAGGACTTCGTACTGTGGGGGAGGATGTTGACGACTAAACGCGGACTATGTGCTTGTTCGAGTAATAGTCTCAACGTATTGTTAACTTTTGTTCGTGTTATTTTTAGATATTAAGTTAGCATTAAGTATTCCAATTTTATTGTTCATCTAGTTCCATAATTTGTGTTTCGATTGTTAATATGTTATTTGAGTTAGGCGTTTGCCTTTCACGTTAGAGTGTCATGATTGTCACCTGCAACGAGGGGGGAGAAACCTCTGTGGTCATCACATTATTCCGTATGGCCCCGCCTTCCAGGTATACGCGTAAAGAGAGGGCCATTTTTCCCTTCCTTTCTTCAGTTTGTAATTTACCCTAGACTGAGTGAGTGCGCGATCTCATGCCGACAAAATGGAAGGGTGACGACAGAAATTGTCTTTAGGAAAACCCCAGGGTGACCACTGTACCGTCTCAGGATATCCTCTTTATCGACGTACACGAGGATGACGACAGCTATTGTCTTTGGAATATCCTCGCACCAATACGAGTGTAATGTGGTTCGCTTGTAATAAAAGTTAAGTATTCAACAAAAATTAAAATTAATGTGTTATTCTTTACTTGATCCTGCCCCCAAAAGTTTGTCGACCTTTATGGTCGTTAACAGATGGGTCTATTAAATATATACACTCGTTATGTGTAAAGAATAAAGAATTTAAAAGAATTTTTGGATATAATGTGCCGCGCCTGACTTAAGGGGTTAGGGGTAGTCAGAATTTTCAAAAAATCAAATTTTTTTTTTGCATTTTCGTTAAGTAAAATATCTTAAAAATAATCTCTGAAAATTTCAAGTTAATCCGATAATTCGTTTTTAAGTTATTCGACAAATAACAAAGAGAGCTCGGGCCTTTTAAAGCGCTCGGGAGCGCTTGCAGCTAGTGTCAGCTGCAAGAAATCGGCTTTTAGGGTTCTATTGTCATCGATGAACTTAGACTTGGGTATATGTAGTAGTACCTAAATTAATATGGCCCAGGAATAGATGACTCGGTGTAAGTAATTTAATAATTCGTTTTTTTGTACGTAAATCTAGTGTGAAACTAAACGCGTTTTTCTCAAAACTATGTTTTTTGAACTGGTGACAACTATAACTCGAAAACCGCTCAGTCGATTTTAATGAAATTTATACAGCTTTTAGAATACATAATAAACTCGGGCCTGATCGAAGGATTTTTTTTTTTGAAAAATTTCGATTTTTTAAGACCAATTAACTGTTGATTTTTTCCTAAAAATCTAGACAAAAATTTCCTGAGGCCGCCATTTTGTTAATTTTTGAAAAAAAAAAAATCCTTCGATCAGGCCCAGGATTATTTATTTATAAAACTAATTTTTTTTATCCGATTGATTTCTGATTAATCTCCAAGGACTTATGATTGTCACCGCAAGGACCTTTTTTTGGAACTGGGTTAACACAAACAGCTGTAACTTCGGAAATAAAAATTTTTTTTTTTTTAAATTTTCGTGACTTCAAGTCAAAACATTGTTTAATAATACCATATTACTACTTTTGTAAAATAAAATTATTTAATAGCAAAAAAAAATACTGAAAATTCTCATTTTTTCGTGCCTCTGACTACCCCTAACTCCTTAATACTCCTGGGGCTGACGCACGCTGTGAATACTACTTACGTTCTACAGCACGCGGCGTCGATGAGTGATTTAAGTCAATGGCGGCTTAAATATACTTGGTTCGCGACCGTAACAATGATCGCGCCTGATTTTAAACTCCTTGGACTGACGTGCGCTGTGTGCACTGCATATGATCTACTGCACGCGGCGTCGATGAGTAGTTCAAGTCGGCGGGAATATTCAGCCCATATATATGCGCCTGAATTTGCATATGACTTTTATATGTTTATATTCTCCTGTTATTTTCTTTTGCAGCGGACTTTATTAAGTTAATGTTTTTTATGAAATTATAAGCATAAGGATTTGGTTATTATTACCAATATTAATAGAAAATGTTTAGAAATAATTTTTCCGATTTACATAAATTTATGTAACTTTATTAAAATTTATATTAATCGAATATATGAATGTAAAAACAAAATTTATTAGGATTAGTATTTAAAAAGGATGATCCGAGAATTCCTGTTAATTAAGGTTGATTATCGTTAATAAATGTGTGGAATTTTATTAATTTGTGTGCAATTAATATTTGCACTGTTCCAGAAGTAAAAGTGGATCCAGGAGTTAATATAACAGTTTCGGATCTATTTATTTTTGTATTTGCAGTTATTTTATTTTCATTAATTAAATTGATGTCTAAAAAGGGATTAATAATGAAAAGTCCTCTTGAATTTTTGATATTTTCAGATGAAATGTGAACTTTTGGATAATATTCAATATTAAAAGATACGCGTAAGATTATTTTGCAGGAGTAAGTGATGACAATTTATACTGTCAATAGATAAGATAAGAAAATTCCGATTTACATGTCTAGAATTTCTGTTTTTCATTAACCTTGTAATCAAAATGAAAAAAAGCTACAAATGTATTAGTGAGGGTAAGCGAGAGAAAGAAATGGAGAGGTGATGAAAGAAAAGAAATGTGAAAGAGAGAATGAGAAAAAAAGAAGTTATAAGCTGCAAAAAAGAATATTTGGAGAACACATGAAAAAATAAGAATTAGCCAATGAGTGAATTAAAGAAAATATAAAATAAAAGAGAATTAAAGATACTGATGAAAATATACAGAGTAAGAGAAAGAGTAAATGAGAGTATTTTTCTCTTTGTTAAGAATGAAATTATTACTTTTTGGGACTTGTGACTTCGTAAGTTCAGTTTTAGAATTTCTTATTTTATTCTCGGAATCTTGTAGAAAGTCTCTTTGGTTGTCGCTCTTAACTAATTCCTCGTCAGTTCTATTTGATTTAACATCTAAAAAAATAATTTTCAGGTTATTATTCATGAATAAATGAGGAAAACTAAAATACATGACTAAGATTTTATTAAATATGATATTTGAAAATTTTATTTTCAGCGCTACTAAGATTTTTTTTTGTTGTATAATGTATAAAAGAGAACATTTCATGATAATTTTTAAAGAGAAAAAGAGAGATAGTAAAGAAAAGTGAAATGGCGAGCTAATTGTAAATAGATAAAATAATTAAAGTGTATAGTATTAAGAGAAAAAATGATTAATTAAAAAAAGAAAATTTGAAAATGGAGAGTGGAAAGATTTAAAAATTTAACAAAGGAAAATAATTCAGATGTAGAGAAAAAATTAGATTTATAGGTAGAAAAAAAACAGTGTTTGTCTATTTGTTTTTTTAAGTTAAAATAGAAAGTACTTTTCTTTGTATGTTAGAATAAAATTATTACGTTTTAGGACTTTTGACTTCGAAAGTTGAATTTAAGATTTTATTATTTTATTGTCAGAATTTTCATTGTCAGACATTTCATTGACAGACATTTCATTGCCAGAATTTTCATTGTCAGAACTTTCATTTTCGGAATCTTGCGAAACTTCACTTTGGTTGTCGCTCTTTAATGATTCTGCGTCATTTGTATTTGATTTAGCATCTAAAAAATGATTTTTGGTTATTATTTATGAATAAATGAGGAAAACTAAATTTGTGACTAAGATTTTATTAAATATGATATTTGGAAAATTTTATTTTCAGCGCTACTAAGATTTCTTTTTTGTTAATACAACGAATAAAAGAGAACATTTCATGATAATTATTATAGAGAAAAAGAGATATAGTAAAAGAAAGTGAAATGGCGAGCGAATTGGAAATAGATAAAAGAATTAAAGTGTACAGTAATAAGAGAAAGAATGATTAAATGAAGTAGAAAAATTGAGAATGGATATGAGTAAAAAAATTGACGAAGGAAAATTAGTACGTAATAAAGAAAAAATGAGAAAAAGTGGAAGTGAGAATGAGAAAAAAAGAGATTATAAGTTACAAAAAAGAAGAAAAAGTAAGTGATTCGCAACTAAAGTAATTGTTTTTAGATTATTATTCATTAATAAATGAGATAAACTGAAGTCACACGACTTAGATTTTATTAAAATTGAAAATTTTTTTAACGCTGGTATATTTATTATTTTTTGTAAATATATAGCGATTAGAAGAGAATATTAGATAAAGAATAGTATAGAAAAAAAGGGGATGGTGAAATAAATTGTAACGAAGAGCGAATTGAAAATAGATAAAAGGACAAAAGTTAGTAGTAAAAAAAAAAGGTGAATGATTAAAGAAGAAAATGTGAAAAACTAGAGTAGAAAGAAATCGTTAAAATTGGACGAAGGAATATAAGCTAGTAATAGACAAAAAATAAAATTTAGGAATAGAAAAAAACTGTGTTTGTCTATTGTTAAGTTACAATAGCTACCTCTCGGTATAGGTGCTTTTAAAACGTTAGGCACATGTATCTCATAAATATTTGAACTTCCTTTTACTCTTTTCTTTGGTTTGGAAGGTCCAGGCAAATTTTTATGTTGCTCAATGATTATTTCATGATTTGAATTTTTGTCACAATCACGTGGGAATTCACCTTCCTTAACGGTGCTTGAATTTTTTTTATCGAATTTCTTGAACTTATTACCTTAAAAAATAAATTTTATATTATTTTTCATAAATAAATCAGGACGAATTATGATTGAGTGAAGGAGAATGGACAAAGAGAGAAAAAAATAGATGAAAGGAAAAAAGAAAATTTATATAATTAAAAAAAAGAATGATGAAAAAAAGTTACCTATTGGAATATGAAGTTTGGAAGGTCCAGGGCCGGGATTACGACAAGCAATACTGCTAAGTTAGCAAACTGCTAGTTGGCAATGTCAGTTATATTCACGCTAGAAAAAAATATTTATTTTTTTTAAATTATTAAATATTTATGCAAGAAGATTAAATGATTTAGTTGTTATTTTAACAACTAGAAAGTAGTATCTAGATTTTAAGACTAAATGCAAAGTGATAAATATTGCAAATGAAGATAAAATTAGTGTGTAAAAGCAGTAGAAGGTAAGTTTAAATCTATATGTTCTTAAAATCTTATATTAATTTATTTGCTTTTTATTTATGTTAATTTAATAAATGCATAATTATAAAGTTTTGATTCTCACTAAAATTTCGGAATTGCTGCAAAACTGATTTTGAAAAACATTTTATTATTATTAATATTATTAACATTTAATAACATTTTGGTAAATTATTAATATTATTATTAATTATCTTACTAAATTGAGTAATTAATTAATTATTAAGAAATTAATTAATGCAAATTTATAACCTAACATTTTTTAAAATAATATAGGTAAATTAATTATTGAACATCAATGTCCAGACATTTTTTATAAACATATTTTGTAAATAAATAATATTTGTATAATAAATCTTTCCTTTATTTATAAAAAATATATTTTTATAATCATATATATTACATAATACATTGTTATATTTAGGTAAAAAAAGTGGATTTAAATTTTGCCTTAAAAAGGGAATTTTGTAAATCAAGAGAAAAATGTAGTTTAATTTTTGTATAACGAATTTTAAAGCATTTTTCATGTACTATTTAATGCAAAAATAATTTATTTCTAAATTAACCCCCTTTTTCAAATTAATTGATGAAAATCCTTTAAAACATCTTACATTAAAATTAAAATCCACAAATTATTGTTAATGATATAATCGGTCGGAAAAAAGGATCTTTGCCTTATATGTATTCGCGTTTTCTTGTTATAAAATTGTTTAGGCTCTATAACAACAATTCTATAACAACTTGAATTTGATTACAGAGACTTTAATTTAAAAATATCCGGTTCACAACAAATTATTTAAGTATAACATTCAAATTTAAGAGCAAATAGCTTGCAAATTTAGCTTTCCAATAAACTTTATTGTGACCCGTATATCTTTAATATTAATTTATAAATTTTAAATTTATAAATAAATAATAAATAATAATTTGGTTTTGCCTTCTTCATTTTTTCGTTTAAGATTAATAAAAGAAAAATACAACAAATTTATTGGTTTTTCATTAGAGACTTATTCATTTTTAAATATAAATAATTCAAATAATTCACTTTACTGTTTTTACCATTACCAATAAAATAATCCAATTTAAAAATTTTTTTTACAGATATATAGTAAAGTTAAAAGTAAAGTTAATAGACTTAGATATAAGTATTCAAAAAAAAGACTTTAAACATTTCATTTCATAAATATTGTTAATATGATAGTATTAATATAATTATTTTTATTTAATAAATAATCATAATATTTTCGAGAAACATTTCATTTTTTATTATTTATGATTTATTTTTTATTATGGTTTAATTTATTTAATTGAATAATTATTTCATTTTGATTCTTTTACGTTTTCATTTAATTATTTATTATTTAATCCTCTATTTTATTGTACTTATAACAATTAATATCTTATAAATGATTAACATTTTTCTTGCTACCCTGTATATGATTAAGCAATTGAAATGGTTATGTTGCATGAAATCTTTCAATTGTTTTCATGCTCACTGCTATCAATCCGAGCAATTTGACAAAAATTTGGTCTCAATTTGCTCGTTTTTTAGGTTAACTTGATTTTAATTTCTATTGTATAAGCTTGTACTTAATTTTTTTTACCAAATAGCAATAAAATGTGATTGTGGGATAAATTTCCTACAAATGTCATGAAATTTTGTTAAGGGGTTAAACCACTCTAAAATTTTCAAAAAATCAAAAAAATTTTTTTTGCTTTAAAAGACGCCTAAGGGTGTATAGAATAAGAAACAATATCAATTATAAGTCGAAACACTTTTTAATTTGGAAGGTCAATTATACGGCGCAGGCATTGCAGATTGAAGGTATATCCAAAAAGTCGTAAGTAAAACTTTAAACTCGTTTTTCTCAAAACTACATTTTTTGTGCTGGCCGGAAACATGACTTTTACAAATCTCAACCGATTTACTTAAGGAGGTTCATCCCTTCAAGCGGTACTCATTCTATTAGGGGTTTTCCGTAAGTTTAAAACCGACAGCTATAGTCCATAAAAGTTGAGCTCCACTGGCCAATTTAGAGGTTAATTTACCGTTTCTCCTCTTCTTTCTTTTATTTACATGGGATAAGTTCAAAAGTTGCTAACTTTGATTAACATTTACTTCACAACCAAACGGTAAAAAAATTTCATATTTTTGTAAAAACTGTTAAAACTCATAATTTAAAACATATTAGTTTTTGAAAAAAATCTGTAGAACCGTTTTTTTTTAATTAATGAAAACATGGTCATTTTTCATGTTTTTTCACTGTTCCCATGTAAAACTTCAAACTTTATCAATTTTTATCTTGAAAATGATACGGTAAAATTCAATAAAATTTGAACAACACATGTAAAGTGATGTCAATAATACATCTTAAAAATTTTTAGAAAATCTGTAGAAAATCGATTTTGGGATGAACCTCCTTAAAAATTAAACTGTAGCTTCTCAATAACATTATCTAGAAAAAGACGTACGGTTTTTTTTATGTTGCATATTTTTTTTGTTATAAACAATTTAGTGTCAATTTTTTAAGTAAAAAACTCGGTTTTTCCTTAAAATATTCGCCATTTTTGCAAAAATCAATTGAAAAAAAATCCCCTACGTCTTTCTCTAGCTTTTAAGATGTAAAAATAGAAAGAAATTTGTTTTTTGTTCTAGGATGAAAATTGGAGCTAAAACCTTTCCGGCCGCGACGTGATTCCTCTCAGAAAGGGTTCCTATCACGTACCTGTAAATTTGATATTTAAAAAAAAAATAATTAATGAAGTATATTTTTTTTCTCTTTAAAGTGTACCTAATAAAGATATGTAAACATATTTTTCAGTACATTTAAACTTTTCTTGAAAAAAATTTCTAAAGTTAGGCCTTTTTTTGACGCTCTAGAGTGGTTTAACCCCTTAAGTTATATTTGCTAATTAGCAATAATTGCTAACTTAGCAGCATTGCTAGTCGTAATCTCGGCCCAGGCAAATTCATAAATACACTGTCCACTCCTAATTTAAGAATTTTTTGGTTTAGTTCTTCTTGAACAATTTTTTTTTATTCTTATTTGATTTAGCAATTCTTTTAGTTTTTAACGGTTCTTTTTTTAAAATATTTCCTTCCGTTGAAACTTCTAATTTCTTTAGATAATTTTCATTTTCTATATTTCGCTGGGTTAGTGGAAAAAAAGGACACGTCGGATTTTCGTTGAAAAAGAGGACACGTCGCGTTTGAGTTGAAGAAAAGGACACGTCGAATTTTATATTTTTTTAAGAAAAGTTGGTAACACTTTTTTTGATGTTGACATTTAAATATTTATTTATTTATCACTTAACTGAAATAAATTATATTGGTTAGAATGGTTAAAAATTAAATTATAATATTGAAAATTTAACCTTGTAATTCTATCTTAATTAATATTTTTGTTTAATACAATTTTCAGTTTTCGCTAAGTTACAAAAATTATAATTATCCTTATTAAAAGATGAAAGATGTATATGCAGCAAAAAATTTATAACTTCAAAAATTTTTCGGGTCGTTTATGTGTAAATTGATAAAAAATATTTTGATTGTAGGAAATAAAATTTAAATATAAAAGACAAATAATTACATCATAAAATGAAATAACGATTTTTATTATTATTTTTTATATTTCTAAGCATCGTCATATATAAAGTAACTAAATTTTTTTAATTTAAAGTTTCTGAACAATAAACGCTAGTTGTTAAAAAAGAGCTTAGATTAATTCATTAAATTTTTGTAAAAATCGTGATACTTTTCTGGGATTAATCCTTTATTATTATTTTTTATATTTCTAAGCATCGTCATATATAAAGTAACTAAATTTTTTTAATTTAAAGTTTCTGAACAATAAACGAACAATAAACGCTAGTTGTTAAAAAAGAGCTTAGATTAATTCATTAAATTTTTGTAAAAATCGTGATACTTTTCTGGGATTAATCCTTTATCAGGGAGTACTTGGAGATCTTTAATTTTATTTTTATCTAGGGGTAATTTTGCATCGTATGCAAGGAATAATTCGTTGTTATTCTTCGGCATATTGGTTGTTTGAACATCTCCATTATAATCATAGCTAAAATGAATAATCCCATTCGAAAGAAACTGAATATCACACACTTGTGAAATTTTTATGTTCTTCCATGTTTTCTCTGATTCATCGGCAAAATCAAAGATTTCATTTTGCTGTAGTTGATGAACATTGTACTTTGGATCCTTCGACTTGGAATTTTATATAATTTCACACCACTCATTTTTATCATAAATCGATTTTCTTTTATCAGCTTTTTCTATAGCGGCATGCATGGAATCTCCAGCAGACTGAGTGTGTCCTTTCACAAGATACCTAAAGGATCTTTTTTTTAAATGTCATGTATTTTAGTGTAAAAAAGTTACTTTTCAAATTTGAATCAGTGAAATTCGTTAAAAATTTCACCAATTCTGTTTTTAACTATTCTAAATTATTTATTTCAATAAATTTATACTATTCCATATGAAATAATATATATAGAGTGAATTTTGAATACCTGTGAGTTATAGTGACTTCGAATTTGACTGCTGCTTTAGCGTACATTGCATACAATTTACTATTTCGGTTCTGTCCAGGACAATTGTCGCTGTGTAAGCGAAAATCTTGTTTTCCTTTTTCTACTTGATCACTTATATGAGACCATACACAACTGCTTATTTCGTTTGCTCCCCTTTTGGCTGTAGTCTCATCCCACACGAAAGAAAATCCTTCTCGAGTCACCAGATCATAAATAGTAAAATTGTATAAAGATATTTTTCTTTTTTAAAAAAAACTGGACAATTCAGATTTCGGAATAGTCAAAACTTTTTCCAGGTCAAACGTAGCTGCATAAATTTCACAATTTTTCTTACCTTCTGCCTTATCACTATTCATTAACTCTCGCGCAGTGTTTTTCTGGTTAATATGTGCATCATGAGCATCTTGAGCAGAATTCTTTTCTTCCTCAGGTAAATTATTAAATGAAACACAGTCATCGCACTGATCCTTTTTTGGCATGTGAAAATCAAAGTTGTAACAAGAAGTAAATATATTTCGATAATAGCTTTCAGTACAGATATTTTCATCATTTATTTCTGCAATCCATTCGAGGTAAAGAGTATACATTTTCCTGATATTTAATCCTTCTTCTAGGTATTCTTTTGTTGTGGTTTGTCGACAATAATGTGATTCAACTTTTAGAAAAAACTCAATATGGTGACGAACTTGCTGTATAACATTTTCTGGGACTTCTTTTGGTCTTACATTGTGCTTTCCTCTTTGATCATTCTCTATAAACAGTCCATTTCTTAATTTTTGCTTATTATGTATCGTTGTTAACCATTGTTTTGAAATAGCTGAAAGTTTTAATTTGAAATTGAAACTTGTATATTATTGTATAATATTGTATAAGATTGAAAAAAATGTTCAATAGAGGAAAATAATATCAAATTAGATTATGAATTAATTATTAATTAGAATAAATTTTTTTCTAAATACCGAAAGTATTTAAAAACATAATTCGGCAAACTTTAACTTCTTTGTTGCGCGTTCTTAAAAAATACGAATGAGAATTCATTTTGAGTAGATTTTCAGTGGTTAAGACTTTTCTTTCTTTAGATTTACTGCTTGTAAACATCCTAGCTATATAGTCCCACTGACGATTGTGATCTTTTAAGTTCCAAAAATTGTCGAATATCTGCTGTCTTTCCTCATTACTTATCTTTTCTTTACATTTTAATCTTAATTCACATGATGGACCCATCTTCTTTTGTTGAAATAATTTTCCACTTTTGGATGTACCGGCTAAACCAGAATTTAAAGCTACTTTTGCAACAGTTGCTTTCCATTCATTAGGATTTCTCTTTCGTTTTCTCGAATTTGAAGTAAATGATGTATTTTCAACGTTATTATTAATAGATGAAATTTCTTGTGAATTGATGTTTTCATTCGTGTCTTGATTGTCTATATTTATAGTTTTATAATTATATTACTTCTCAAATATTTATATTATATTCAACAATAAAATATATACAAATTTAAAACTTTGTGAGTAGTACAAAATTATTTAAATGAAATAAAGATTAATAAACGAAATCAAATGGAATTTATACATTAAGAAATTCTGCGATAAATGTAAAACATTTCATGAATAAAAATTTTAACAAATGATAATTTGTTTAAAAATAATAAATTTTTTTTTTAATAAAGAAATGGAGAAAAATGTATACAAAGATGGCAGATTATTTAAAATAGAAAATACAGTATTATTAAGTTCCATATTCTTACCAGATGATTCATACGAATTGTCTAAACTAATTTCATCTTCATGACTTTCGTGATTAGGAGAAAGAGTAAAATCAGAGAAGTTGTAAGTATAATTAAAATTCTCAGTTGCATCGATCGTAGTATTTTCGGTTTGTTCATGGGATACCGTGTCTGATTCTGTTAATAAAGCTACAAATAAAACTCTTATTTGCGGTGAATGAAAATCAATATTAAAAATAAATTTAATAATTAACAATTTTTTACCAAATGGCAAAGTGTTTAGAGTATTATTACCAGGAGGTTCACTCGAATTTTCTAAATTGAATTCGTTTGCATGATTTTCGGAGTTAGTAAAAAGAGTAACATTGGAGCAGTTATCGGTATAATTAACATTTTTAGTTACATCGAAAACAGTATTTTCCATTCGTTCACGAAATATTGTATCTGATTCTGTACATTAAACATTGACTTGTAATGAATGAATAAAATGTAACGTTAGAAATATATTTAATAATTGTCAGTTTTTAACACATCCCAGTGGGCACCAAGATATCTTTAGGATGACTTTAGAACGTTCCAAAGTGTCCTAGGACATTGTGTCAATGTTCCAAAGACAAAAAAAAGACGACTTAAAGACGCCCAAAGTATATTCTATGTAGGATTATACAATTTTTCGATGAAGTATTTTGCTTTGGTATTACGGGTGTAGCAAAGATGTTATTTATCAATAAAAAGAGGCTGCAAGCAGCACTTAAACTTAGTGTACTTAGTAAAGCAAACTTAATTAACATCAGTAACAAATCAGCTGGACTAACCTTAATAGGTTCATCGATTATTTCAAACATTTTTTTATCACTCAGTGCTTCGTACAAGTTTTCAAATTGTTTTTGGTCCGATGTACTGTCTTCATTTGACTGTTCTTCTGAATCGGAGTCTTCTAATAGAATGTCATTTAAATTTAAACTTCCGCCCTATAAAACAAAAATTTTATCTATGAATTATAATTCATAACTTTTTTGCTATTCTGTCATCTAAATGAAAATTATAATGTCATTCACAGCGTAAAAATTAGGGACCATTCATTAATTACGTAAGGTTCTAGGGGGAAGGGGGGTCTACAAAATCTCTACATGGCCTTATGTTGGGGGAGGGGGGGGTTAGAGCTTTTCTTACGTAAGGTTTTACTAACAATTAAAAATTTGTTTTTTCTAAGAAAATTAAATTTTTTAACGCATTTTAAACGAACTCATGGTTAAATCTTACGTAAGAAGGGAGAGGGGGGGGTCAAAATTTGCCAAAATCGTCCTTACGTAATATGTTCAATTATAACAAAAAACCAAAGCTAAAAATAGAAGCAATTTGGTTTTCTTCTTAAGCACAGAATGTCCGACAGCTTGTCTTTTTACTAGGACCTTCCGGAAGGCCCTGTGGATAAAAGAGTTTTTAAAAAGAAGTCAAACTTACTTTGCTGTCAATCTTTAGAATTAAAGTACTCATAAGAACGAAAAAATATATGTATTTGACTTTTCCAAAACATAATATTTAACTAGATTTTAAGGGTATGTCCAACATGTGAAATGTAAACAAACATGAAATGTAAGCAAACTATGCACATTTTTTCGCACTTTTCATTTGTGTAGAAAATAAAAATTTGTCGTTTTCTTTATGAAAATGGTTAATTAATTTATTAAACTTGGTAACTATACTTTATTTAACTAATTATTCGAAAAAATAAGTACAATTATAATGAAATGAAAAGTACACTGAATTAGCAATTTTTTCAAGCTTACGAAAAAAAACCATTTGAGTATATCTGAGGCACGGACGTTGAGCATCTAGGTGGGAGAAAGAGTTGAGCCATTGGACGGTCACATCTTGGAAAGAGTAAAATTCTAAAATTTTACCCCTTCTCTCATTTTCTCCCACCTAGGTCCTCAACGTCCGTGCCTCAGATATACTCGAATGCTTAAATTTTTCGTAACCTTGAGAAAATTGCTATTTCAGTGTACTTTTCATTTCATTATAATTGAGCTCCCGCCGACAATAACTCGATCTGCGCTTGAAAAGAGAATTTCAAGCCAGTCAAGCGTTCGAAAAATGAGAAAATATAAAATTCGAAACTTTAAATTTTGAAACGTACTACCATGTAGAGTATAAAAATGCCCAACTTTTTTGTCTTTGAAATTTTTTTGTAGGACTTTTATTTTTAATAATAATGGACAAAAACTAAATTTTTTTCCATTCTCAATTTCATTGAAATTTAAAACTTAAATTGTCCTATCTTGAACAAATCTTCATGAAATCAATTAAAAATTGACATACTTACGTATCAAGGTCTACCAAAGACGATAAAATGATTAAAACATTTAAAAAAAATTATTGCACAATTATTTGTTAATGTAAATAGAGACCTGTCAGTAAATACGTTTACTCAACTTTGACGAGAAAAAGTATGCGGTGAACTTTCCAGTTGACAAAACGTCCAGTGAGACATTTGTTTATTAATATGTGAAGAAGTTTTTTGGAAAGTTTTGTTTAAATCGGATTAAAAATAAAAAAGTTACATAATGTTTAAGAAAATATGCGCCGCGCGGCGTTTTGACATTTTGATACGCAGTCTTCATGGGGAGGAAAGTTTATTGCTATTTTCCGTTGACTTGTTTAAAAGTAAGTTTAAGATTAATATATTTAGTCTTTTAAATTATATTTATTCAAATAACAATATTTTACATTTGTGTAAATTATTTATAATATATTTTTATGAAGTCAACGTAAAATAGCAATAAAGTTTACTCCCCATGAAGACTGCGTATCAAAATGTCGAAACGCCGCGCGGCGCATATTTTCTTAAACATTATGTAACTTTTTTATTTTTAATCCGATTTAAACAAAACTTTCCAAAAAAGTTCTTCACATATTAATAAACAAATGTCTCACTGGAAGTTTTGTCAACTCGAAAGTTCACCGCATACTTTTTCTCGTCAAAGTTGAGTAAACGTATTTACTGACAGGTCTCTATTTACATTAACAAATAATTGTGCAATAATTTTTTTTAAATGTTTTAATCATTTTATCGTCTTTGGTAGACCTTGATACGTAAGTATGTCAATTTTTAATTGATTTCATGAAGATTTGTTCAAGATAGGACAATTTAAGTTTTAAATTTCAATGAAATTGAGAATGGAAAAAAATTTAGTTTTTGTCCATTATTATTAAAAATAAAAGTCCTACAAAAAAATTTCAAAGACAAAAAAGTTGGGCATTTTTATACTCTACATGGTAGTACGTTTCAAAATTTAAAGTTTCGAATTTTATATTTTCTCATTTTTCGACCGCTTGACTGGCTTGAAATTCTCTTTTCAAGCGCAGATCGAGTTATTGCCGGCGGGAGCTCAATTATACTTATTTGTTCACATAATTAGTTAAATATAGTATAGTTACCTAGTCTAAAATATAAATTTACCATTTTCACAAAGAAAACAACAAATTTTTATTTTTTTACCCAAATGAGAAGTGAGAAAAATGTAAGAAAATTGGTAATTCAGTGAACTTTTCATTTTATAATAATTATACTTATTTGTTTAGAAAAGTTATTAAAAGAAGTATAGTTACCTAGTATAATATATCAATTTGTCATTTTCACAAAGAAAGTTACAAAGTTTTATTTTCCATTCAAATGAGAAGTGCGAAAAAACTGTTCAAAATCTAAACAAATCATACTCATTTGGGAAGAAAATAAAAATTTGTCGTTTTTTTTGTGAAAATGGTACATTTATATTTTAGACTAGGTAACTATACTATATTTAACTAATTATGTGAACAAATAAGTATAATTATAATGAAATGAAAAGTACACTGAAATAGCAATTTTCTCAAGGTTACGAAAAATTTAAGCATTCGAGTATATCTGAGGCACGGACGTTGAGGACCTAGGTGGGAGAAAATGAGAGAAGGGGTAAAATTTTAGAATTTTACTCTTTCCAAGATGTGACCGTCCAATGGCTCAACTCTTTCTCCCACCTAGGTGCTCAACGTCCGTGCCTCAGATATTCTCAAATGGTTTTTTTTCGAAACCTTGATTTTCCTTAAAAATTATGTTTAATAAATTAATAAAATAATATTTTTATATATATATGAATAAGTCGCACAGACAGGAGCCATAGGTTAATTTTCATTATCTTAATACAAATGTTAAAACTATTGTAAAACTTTATTTGCAATCAATAATCAAATTCTAATTCTAAAAAAAAATAAAAAAAAAATTCGAAACCTTGAAAAAATTGCTAATTCAGTGTACTTTTCATTTAATTATAATTGTACTTATTTTATCATATAATTAGTTAAATAAAGTATGGTTACCAACTTTAATACATTAATTTACCATTTTCATAAAGAAAACGACAAATTTTTATTTTCTACACAGATGAGAAGTGCGAAAAAATGTGCATGTTTTGTTTACATTTCATGTTTGTTTATATTTCACATGTTGGACATACCCTTAAATGTTACGGAGAGAAATATAAATTTTAACGTGTAAAATGAATGTTTGACAATTATAAAATAGTTAAAAAATATATCATTCACTTACCTTTTAACAGCACCTTTTTTCCGAGAATACGGTATAAAAGAAGTTTGTCGTCGACCACTTTTTCTAGTGCGACTATTTTTCGTCACAGTTATTGTAAATTTGTTAACTAATATTACAATAAAAATCGCAATTTCAACAATAATTTGCAAAAATGTTTTACTTGTTCGTTATCAAAAATGAACACATAGTACACTAAAGTTGCAACAATTACCGCTATGAATAAACAACGCTGACATCGAATAGAGCATTTTTCTCAAAAATGATATTCAGCATTTAATTTATGTTCAAGAAAGTTTGTCCATCTCTGGTTTTCGAGTTTTTAATTTTTTTACAAATTTTTCTGTAAATGGATAAAAATGTTTCTAACAAACTTAAACTTCTTCTCTCAATTTCCCAAATTAATTTAAATTCTCCCGCCTAACCTCCATCGAAAGGAAACTCACGTGTAAACAGACAATGTATATGCCTGTATTCCGCATTATTGGGATTCTTCGAAATGTAAATTTTTCAAAAGACTTCAGATAATTTTGAATTAGAATGTTGACAATTAATTAAAAAAATACAATATTTGCTGTCATTAATATCTTTTTATTTATAATCAATTATTTGGAATTCAAAAAATTAGCAAACGTCAACAACTGAAAACCCAGTTGAAAATAATGACATCGTTTATTATTTTGTTTATTATATGTATCATCTCTGATTCAATTAGTGAGATTTATACTAATCATCTAAAAATATCTATTTATTAGTAAAGTCATTTTTAGGTTATGTTGAAATAACTAAAATTTTAATTGAAATTATATAGTAACTTATTCAATTAGTAAAATTTCAATATTTCGTATTTAGTTTTTTGTACTAGAAATTAATTATTTTTGTGTATTCCTCGATTTGTTAGTTTGAAAAGTTGTAAAAAAAACTGAAAAAAAAAATTTAATTTATTTTAGAAATTTGAATTTTTATCTTTGATTTGAAACCACGAATCCTTATTTTTTTATTCATTTTGCTTGTTTATACTCTCTAAATTTGAATTTCTAACAGTAACTAATTATTAATTAGGTATTTCATTTTTAAATATGGCTGCACGACCAGCCATATTGGAAGCCTGGAGGGACAACAAATAGTTTTACTACAGTACATCTACAGTCGGTAACGTTGAAAACTTCAAAAACTTAACCTCAAAATCACTTGTTTGACAGTTCCCTATTGTATTTTTATTTGTTGTCCCTTCAGGCTTCGACGTCACAAGGTGAAAAGCATAATCAAATTCTGGTTCACTTTCTGCTTCATTAATTTGTAAAAGATTACTAGTTTGTTAGTAAAAATAACTAATTTTTAGTACAAAGAAATAACTACAAAAATCTCAAATTTTACTACAATGAAACCTCCGTATATCGAACCCGCTTAAATCGAATTCCCGTTTAAGACGCACTCACACCTTTTTGGCTGCCTGCAGGTTACCATGGCAACGCATGTGAGTGAGTGCGACAAAAAATTTAAAAATTTGAATATTCAAATTTTTGGTCTCACTCACACCCGTCCGTTGCTATGGTAACCTGCAGAGAGGCTGGCAGCCAAAATGCTGTGAGTGCGCCTTTATATTGCTCAAATTAGTTATTTCAACATAACCTAAAAATGAATTTACTAATAATTAGTTATTACCAAATGATTATTATACATCTTACTAATTAAATCAGAGACAATATAATAAACTATATAATAATGGACGTAAATATTTTTAACTGGGTTTCTTGTTGTTGACATTTGCTAATTTTTTGACTTACAAATAATAACAGTTTTTGGACGTTTTCGCATCGGAAAAATGTGTAGTTACCCAATTTTGATTATAAAGTTTCATTGTGCAAAAGGTGACAGTGGATTATTGTGTTTTGTTAAAATGAGAACAGCGACAATATTGCGAGATGAAAAATATTCTTCTTCGTAAATTTAGATAGTCTTTCCGCTTGCAGCGCCATCTGAAAAGTTATACGTGTTAAACGTATGACGCCCGGAAAAGGGGTCAGACTTTCAAGCAGCAGAGAAACAAAATGGCTACCTGTCAACAAGTTTGTTTGTTGATATGTGCTCACATTTTAACTTACAAATAAAAATAGTTTTACAAAGTTTTCGAATCGGAGAATTATGTAGTTACCAAATTTGGATCATGAAGTTTCATTGTGGAAAAAGTGATAGTGTATTATTGTGTTTGATGAAAATAGGAACAACGAAAGATGACATACAATTTGGGTGAAACTGTACGCATTTATCAATAAATTATACAATTATCTCTTGGTCTTTTTAGTTGAATAAAGTGTAGTTACCAAATTTATAATATAAAGTTTCATTGTAAAAAAAATTATTGAGAATTTTTGTGTTTTATTGAAATGGGAGCAACGAAAAAATTACTCAAATGTGCAACAAAAGTGTACGTATTTCGGTATAAATAATATAATTTTCTTTTGCTTTTTTTCAATTGAATAAAGTGTAGTTGCCAAATTTACAATATAAACTTTTGTTATAAAAAAGATGAGATCGAATTATTGTGTTTTATAGAAATTAGAGCGTCAAAAAAATAGTGTACATGTGCGATGAAACTGTACGTTTTTATTTATTTAAAACTTTCATTTATTTTGCTTATTTTTAACGAAATAAAGTGTAGTTACCTTATTTCATATGTGCTTTTAACATTTTCATAAACAAAAATTGAAAATTTCATTCCCTTTTCAAATAGGAGCAGCGAAAAAATTCAAAGGGGGCCCCGGTCCGTGCGATCATCATTGTTTGTAAACAATATGTACCTTGGACATAGCCTTAATAATATCTATTTCTCTATTTCGTGATTTATTAAATAAGTCGAATTCTATTTTTTACTTATTATTTTACTTATTCGTCATTCAACTTTTCTTTCCTTTTTCTATATATTTGCAAAATTCCAACATTATCGAGAATTTTTCGAACCCTGAAATCAATAAATAAACAATCCGAATAGAAAAGAGTGAACATAAATCACAAAACAAGAATTTAGTAAGGAAATTGTCAAAAAATCGTAGAATAGATTTCCAATTTCTAAAAAAAATTTCGAATTTTTACTCTTCAGTTTTTTTTACACCTTTTCAAACACACACAGAAATCGGAAAATACAAAATCCGATTAACCAAAAGCACAAATTATTCTAAAAGCCACAATTTTTTATTACAAATCGACATAAAATGAAAGATAAAATGACTAATTTACAACAAAAAATCCAAATATTTATTTTTCAATTTTTCGATTTCATGTATTGCGACAGTGTCAAAAAAATAATGACAAAATAAATATTTTTTTTTAAATTAAAACTTTTAGATGCAGATTTCAAAGATTTTGAATAGCATATCTGCTTTTAGATGATAGCTATTGATGGTTACGATACGGTTCGATTATTTTTCGATTCTGGTATTTAAACAGTATCGAAATGGTGAAAATAAAAAAATTAAATTTTTGTCCAGTATTTGATTTTTTTATTTTTAGTTTCCTTAGATTTAAAATGGAAAAAAACTTTTTGAGGATTGTTTTTGCAAGTTATGAATGGGTTTGTTTATTTTTCGTATTCTGATTTTCAAACATTGTCGAGAAGGTGAAAATGAGAAATTCAATTTTTTATTTTCACCTTTTCGACAATGTTTGAAAAAGGTGAGAATAATAAAAAAATCAATTTTTTTCCACAAATTAATTTTAATATTTTCTGATTTCCTAGATTTTGAATCGAAAATCTGTTTTTTGGTGATATTTCTTGCTGGTTGCGATTCGGTTCGATTATTTTTCGAATTTTGGTAATCAAACAGTTTCAAAATGGCAAAAATGAAAAATCTAATTTTTGTTCAAAAAATTAATTTTTCTATTTTCAGTTTTCCTAAATTATGTATTGCGACAGTGTTAAAAAAGTAATAAAGACAAAATCTGAATTTTTTTTAACAAATTGAATATTTCAGATACATATTTCCTAGATTAAAAATCGAAATTCTGCTCTTTAGGTATTGTTTTGCTTGGTGTGACTCGGTTCACTTATTTTTTTTAAATCTGGTATTCAAAAAGTGTCAGAAAGGTGAAAATAATATATCCAAATTTTTTTTTTTAAATTGATTTTATTATTTTCAATGTTTTTTATTTTAGTAATTGTTTTTGCTAGTGATGATTCAGTTTTGTTTATTTTTCGATTTCATGTATTGCGACAGTGTCAAAAAAATAATGACAAAATAAATATTTTTTTTTTAAATTAAAACATTTAGATACAGATTTCAAAGATTTTGAATAGCATATCTGCTTTTTGGTGATAATTATTGATGGTTACTATGCAGTTCCTATATTTTTAGACTTCTGGTATTCAAACAGTGTCCAAATGGTGAAATTAAAAAATTAAATTTTTTTTAAAAAATGATTTCATTATTTTCAGTTTTCCTGCACTCAAAAAAACTTGTAAATTTGACTACTTTTTAACTACCCTGCATAGTACAATAGGTCCACAACTGAATTAAAAACATTGTATTAACTATCAAAAAATAATTAAGAATATAGTTGAAGCAATGAGATTTCGTAGTTGTTTTAGTCATTAGTAGTTGATTTAACTACATTTTTAAGTAAAAGCAACTACTAATTATCAACTATCCATTAAAAAATAGTTAAATTAATTACATACATGCAGTTCGATTAACTAAAAAAGTAGTTATTTTATGTACTTTTAAATCAACTACTTAACGGTAGTTGAATTTCTGAGTTAAATTTTTTTCAGTGTAGATTTAAAAAAAATATCCTTCTTAGAATTGATTTGAAAGTTATGAATGGGTTTGTTTATTTTTCAAATTTTAATTTTCAAACATTGCCGGAAGGAGAAATTGAAAAATTTAATTTTTATTTTCACCTTTTTGAATCGAAAATATTTTTTGCTAGTTATAAGTGGGTTCGTTTATTTTTCGAATTTTGATATTCAAACAGTTTCAAGAGGGTGAGAATAAGATAATCGCATTTTTTTTAAATTGATTTTTATATTTTCAGGTTTTCCCGATTTTGAATAAAAAATCTGCTTTTTGGTGATAGTTCTTGCTGGTTATGACTCCGTTCCATTATTTTGCGAATTCTCGCCTTCAAACAGTGTCAATAAGGAGAAAATAAAAAATGTAATTTTTTTCCAGTAATTGATTTTTTATTTTCAGTTTTTTAGAGTTACAATCGAAAAAAGTTTTTTTTTGAAACGTAATCTCTTGAAATTTTTTTTTAGTAATGTTGAAGAAATAATTATCTAGAATTCTCATAAAAATATTTTTAAAATTTTTGGTTACAATTCCTCACAAATTTTCCGCTCGTGACTACCCTGTTGAAAATTTGTGTTTAAAAACCTCTTGGATTCCATTAAGGATCTTTTGTGAGTTCTTATGTGGGATCCATATAAGTTGTCGCTTATGATCCTATGTACAAAGGATCCTAGAATGAACTTGTGTTAGAACTCGCACATGATCCTATATTTCTGTAAAAGCAACAACACATTATCCCATGAGGTTTCCTATGTAATTTTCTAAGTAGATTCCATAACTTACGAAGGTTTAGAGTTTTTACATAGGTTTCCAGATTAACAATGTGTAGATGGGATCTTTTCTGAGATATTCTTACAAGTGATTTTTTGAAAACCGTTAATTCATATACGAATTTATGCAGAATCGTACACAATTCAGGATACTTGTGTGACATCTCAAGCAACATCTCAGATAAGATCTCACCTGGGTTGCTATATAGCAAGTGGTTCAATCATATTATTCATGGAATAATGTGTTGTTTCTTTTACAGCCTTTTTACAAGCCTCAGGTTTTCAACTTTTTCAAATTTAAAAAAAAGTGTCAAAGCTCTTAACACGAATTATGAATTAAAGATTTCCAGAGTGGGTTTTAAGAGTTAAATGAAAAATATAGTGTTGTATTTTCAATGGTATATATTTACTCTCCATTTTTCAGACGTGCCAAGAGGAACGGTATGAATGTCGATGGCAAAGTTGAAAATACAAATGAAGAAACTGTCGTGAAATTGACCAAAAACCATTCAAAGGATGAGTCCTTTGAAGTTGATTGCAAAACACTACTAATATCAGAAGATTGTTCTGCTTCTGAGAATCAAGTAGATGTCACAAATTTTGAAAATGAGACTGTTCTATTAACGGAACAAAAGATTGAACAGGAAGTGAAGATTTTTGAAAGTGATATTTATTATTCAAATGGCATTTACTCGTTTCCTTTGACTAGTCCAAAGATGAATGAAGAAAGCGTATCTTTTCCAGAAAGTCTTGATGCCATTTTAGAATTTGATAAAGACAGTGTTGCAGAAAAAGTGCAAGTCATTTGTGACAATTACGAAGAAAACTTTCCCTTTGGTAAGCATAATGACATCGAGTGTGATGATGAAACAATGTCTTCTTCCACAATTACTGCTTATGAGAACGATGACAAAATGTCAAATTGCTCTGACAACACGGCTTATGAAGAAGATGACAAGATGTCAACGTCTTCTTCTACTATCACTGCTTTCAGTTCACAAATCATACCTGATAAGAAGATGGATGAAGAATCTACAAAAACTTATCAAATTGTGGTTACAAATACTGAGGTGGATAATGATCAACAAAACCATCATGACCAGGAGTTCACTGATTTTGAGATCCCAGCTTGTGAAGAGGATGACAAGATGTCAACGTCTTCTTCTACCATCACTGCTTTTAGTTCACAAATCATACCCGATAAGGAGATAGATAAAGAATTTACAAAAACTGATCAAATGGTAGTTACAAATACTGAGGTGGATAATGTTCAACAAAATCATCATGACCAGGAATACACTGATTTTAAAATCCCAGCTTGTGAAGAGGATGACAAGATGTCAACGTCTTCTTCTACGATCACTGCTGCCAGTTTACAAGGTCAGATCCAGAAAAACATCATTGAGGGTAATCGCATTGTTGATTTGGATCATTTAATGAACAGCCTTCTTAAGCTGGCGTATGATGAAGATGATCGTCACAAAGAATCCTGCAATCGAAGAAGATGGAAAATAGCAAAGTCTAGCGAAAAGGGCTTCAAAACATATGTTACATTAGTTTGTGAAAGCTGTCGTGCAACAGTAATACAAAAATCTCATCCAAATGATCCTAAGAAGATGGATATTAATACGGCAATGGTGTTGAGAACTATAACAGCAGGCAATGGTTACTCTAATATGCAAGAATTACTTGCTCCTTCAGGAATCCCATGCATATCTTCAACAGCCTTTTTGACACACCAGAAAAATATTGTTCGCCTTATAATAGACACATCAGAGGAGATTATGAGACAAAACGGCCGAGAGGAAAGAGAAACTCTTATCAAGAAAGGTCTTTACATAATGTTTAAAGAACCAAATGGGGTAGAGAGGATTATCCCTTTAGCAACTGTTCATTGCGATGGATCATGACTGCAGAGAACTTTTCCTGGAGGATTATACGGTTCTCTTGGTGGTGCCGTTACCGTCGTAGGGAGTGAAACTAAAAAGCCTTTAGACTTGAGAGTCAAGTGCAAATCATGTGCTACATGCGAGAGCGGAGGAGCAGTGAAGAAACATGATTGCTACAAAAATTTTGATCGAGATGAACCTTCTTCATTAATGGAAAAGCAAGGCACTCTTGATGCGTTCGGTGCCTCTGAGAAATTACACGACATGATCTACAAGAACTTCGTTGGTGACGGAGACAGCAATGTTTTCGCTGGTCTTTTGGCAGCTGATCTATATAAGAAATATGGGATTATAGTTAAAAGACTTTTTTGCACCAACCATGCACTGAAGAATCATACGAAACACTGTAAAGCTGTAAAACCGAAATTGCCTCGAGTAAAGCAAACACTTGCCACAAAAGCTCGCAAGGTTGTCACAAACAAGAAAGGGCGCCGCATCATTGAAACGAAATCATCTGTCACGATTATGAAAAAAAGAATGATTAGAAAACGAATGGCAAAAGCTCGAGATCTCTTAAAAAAGAATGTACAAAGATTCCGAAAAGAAATAAAAGCAGCTGCTAAGAGACGACGAGAGGACGGTCAATTGTCATATGACCAAAAAATTGAGCTGCTTAAGAAGGACATAATGAATGTACCGTATCATGTTTTTGGTTGCCACAAGCAATGTTCTGCATTGGGTGGATGGCCCTGCGTTGATCAAAAGAATGGTGTAGAAGAAAAATTTGATTCCGTGAAAATGGCAGTTCAAGATAATGACACTGATCCTAAGAAAAAATCCGATCCTGTGGAATTGATGGCTAGTGAAAACAATAACTTTGATATTGAAGAAAAATCCGATTCCTTGGAAATGGTAGCCACTGAAAACAATGAAGTTGATTTAGAGAAAGAATCAGATCCTCAGCAGATGGTGACAACTAATAGGAACGGCATTGACATTAAACAGGAGGATTATATTGCTTTACTGGAAGAGGTTGGTGTTCTTCCGCAGCTTCTGCGGTTACACGGCCGATTGTTTTTGATAATCGAAAGTTTGTTGTTGGATACTACAACAAATTTAAATGAATCAATCCATTCCCTGATTTGTAAATATTGTGCAGGAAAAAGACTAGGACTTTCTAGAAGTGGAAATTATTGTGCTCGTTGCCATTGCGCAATGATTGCTTAGAGTAATAGACACTTACAATCTAGTATCATCAAACACGCTGGAAAAGAGGTACCTAATTCTGTGTTGACAATGGAAAAAAATGGAGAAGCAAAAGTGGAAAGAAACAAGAAGTACGCGAGCAAGAAAAGAAGGGACAAGAAAATAAACAAATGCAGCGACAAGAATTACGGTAAATGTGCGGAGAATCTAGATATGGAGAAGACAATGTTTGAGATGCAAAAAGAAATTTACCTGAAAACACTGAAGACTTATCAGGAAAATAGAATAGCCATTGCTGAACGCACAGTAGATCAAAATTTAAGTGATGAATGGAAGAACTTTCACCGAAAACTGCTAACGTCAGCACACTTCGGAGAGATATGCAAACGGCGGGAAACAACACTGTGTAGCTCTTTGGTAAAAAAATTGTTGCACCCTTCTACTAAAGATCCTTCTGCTGCTGTCTTTTATGGAATGGAAATGGAACCAATTGCAAGAGAAGCTTTGTCAAAGAAAATAGGTCATCCTGTTGTACCGACAGGAATGTGGATAGATCCTGATTTAGAGTACCTGGCAGCATCACCTGACGGTCTTATTGATGTCGAAGTCAAGGATTTACGTGATTTTAATTCTAAGGTTAAGGGAAAGAAGCCTCATTTCACTTATAACGTTATAGAAGGTGGCGTTGTCGAAATCAAGATTGCATGCTTCCAGAAATAATCGATAGCCGTATCTCGAGAAGTATGCAGATTCGAGAACCTGAATACATTCTGAAAAAAAGGGCAAATAAGAATAAACTCACATGTGATGTCTTTCAAATTGAAAACAGGCAAAGCAAGAGAAAGAAAGATAATGTGCAAATTGATGAAAAAATTTCGTCAACAGAAAGCAAAACGAAAAAAGTAAGCTTCGAAGAGGAAATGTCTTTTACCGACAGAAAAAACCAGGAAGAAAAGAATGAACCTATAATTGAAAATAGGCGAAGCAAAAAAAGAAAAGATGTGCAAATTGATAGTGAAACATTGTTGACAAAAAACAAGACAAAAACCGTTCGCATGGAAGACGAAAGGAATTGAAAATAAAAAAAGATGACGTCCATACTTATGAGCAAATATCCTCGACAGAAGAACAGACGAAAAAAGTGAGAATGGAAGACAAAATTCCTCTTAAAGTGGAAAGTAAGAAGAAAATTAAGGAACAGATTATGTTAGCCTGGGCTCCAGTAAATTTAGAACCGTGCCTAAAAATTGTAGAGAGTAAAAGCAGTTGGTTAGACGACGAACCTTTAGACGCATTTCTAGAAGTGGTGCGAAAACATTCGAACTTGGAGACATTAAGCGTTCATAACATCATGACGCATGTGGAAGTGCCTGAATGCAATAATGATCGGGACGTGCAAATTATTGGAGGAAATATTATTCACCACTGGCGGTTTTACTACTATGAAAATGGCGCATCCATAGACAGAAGACTTACAATATTTGACAGTGAGTACAAAGAATTAACGTACAAGAATCTTGCAAAGGAGGAACAAATTTTCATAAAGAAAAGATATCCAAAATTGTCTCCAAGGAACGTGAGTTGCATTTGTCTCCAAAAGCAACCTGATGGTTCATCTTGCGGAGTGAATGCTGCAGCAAATTGTGCCAGTGCTGGTCTGGGTTTAGATCCATTCACGCAGAGGTATTCTGTCAATCCCGCAAAAATGAGAAAGCACTTTGCAAATATTATCAAAACACAGAAGTTGACTCGTTTTCCTAATGTTGAAAGGAATCTTTCAAAACAGGAAAAGAAACTTTTTCCTCCTTTTAAGTGACATTGTATTTTGCGGCAAAAAATTAGATATTAAAAAGTACATATGTTTTAAAATACATTTTCAAAATAACTTACACATTCTTCACGAATGATTCTTAAAGCTCATTACATGAATGTTTTATTTCATGTACGTTTCTTTTTATTTTGTCTGAAAAAGTCAAAATAATCATGCTTGCCAATACATGATAATTATTTGCATATTAAATGCGAATACGTCATTATAGAATTTTTTATTTATATATTTTATTTGTTTGACATACTCTTTTGATTAATAATGACAGAAAAAAACGTTATCCAAATTGAATCTAGAAGAACTAACTTCTTAGATGTAAAAATAATATGTAAATAGTACAAGTGTCATATTCTGTACTCATTGTTAGAGCTCATTACATGAATCTTTTATTTTATGTACGATCTTTTTTATTTTGACTGAGAGTCAAAATAAATGAAAAGCATTGTTTGTAAATTATGTTTAACATCATAGTTCTATGTACATATTTCGTTTTTTCTAGGTGGTGAAATAATGGAAATTCAAGTCTGGTGTATGACAGCCCGTCTGATTTTGGTTTGACTTATTGTATACAATATTAGGTTAGACCTTAATCGAATGGGGTGTTGTATTCCAAATCGTCAGGATAATTCATCTTGATAATGGTAAGCAATTTTGAAGAAGAAATATTGTTTGAGCATTAAGGAATATTACTCTATATCATTCAATATTTCTATCATATCACAAAAAAAGAGAAGTCAAATGCAAATAAGTCGTCAGCACTTGAAAAATAAGAAGAGGACATATTTTTTAAGATTATTGATAAAAAAAGAAACTTATTTAAAGCTTAGAGATAACTGTAAAGCATTCGAAGGCTTAAAGGATTCTGTCCAGGAATAGCATAAAAATATAACTGTCGGTTCCGTCAACATGAGGTAACATTAAGAAAAAATTCGCAATATACATTTCTTATGGTCCATGAACCGCTCTTTCAGATGGTGCATCTGAAAAAACCGTAAATTGAAAATTAAACAAATTACAGATAATTGTTTATAAAAAACACGAATTTTCAAGGTTTTTTTTTACTTTAGAATTTTTTTGGACCATGTACCATTTTAGAATATCTTCGCCAGGTACAAATAACGCGTCAAAAATGTTCGCCCTTTGACATGGTGGCATAGATTTTAATAAAAAACTAAATGTCAAAAAAATATTGTTAATTAAACAAAATGCAGTACCAAGATAAAATTTTCTTTCTGTACAATTAAAATTATGAAAATAGTCAAAGAAAACTGAAATTAAAAATTAAACTGTTTTGAAAAACAATTTCTCCTTACTATAAAAGTTACAATACTTTGGATCTTTTCTATACTTTAAATTCATATTTTCAAAAAAGTATTTAAAATATAATTTCTTTCAGAAAATTTGAACAAGGAGTACCTGATATTGCAGAGCAAGAATACAGTTCTAAATGACATACTGTTTTAACATTAACTGTTCACCTATCTTAAAATTTTTAAATTCCATCATTCATAACTAGCAGAAATTTATTTTAATATCGTCAGAACACAGCTATCATGTAACTTGAATGCAGACTTTCTTAACAAGTATTGCAGAGTACGTATGATGTTCATAATTGATTGGGGATGATTTATCTCTAATCATATATAAGAGGTATGTTTCATATTTTTAAGACCTTGATACTATTTTAAGGATGAGCATGCGTAATTTTTATCAATTAAAGACTACATTTTCTTTGAAATTTATTAAATTAAAATTTCTATTTAAAAAAAGATTTACAAAACAGTAAACAATAATTTGGTCAAATACAAAAGCCGTTCAAGAGTACGCTTTCATTAAGAAGTTTAAATTATTTTCTTATAAACGATTTTCCAAATCATTTTAAAGTTGTCGACTATATTTTTCAATAAATCTACTTGCAAAAATACGTATGTATTGGGATCTGACATGGGGGCGGGGCCTAAAGCAATATGGCGTAAATTGGGTAACACTTTTAGTGAATTTACATGGGAATAACAGGGGATGCAATAGAACAAAATCGTTTAAAAAATATTGCTTAATTTAATAAATGTATAAGTGAATTTTTTAAATACAAAATTACTATTTACATTCCTATTTACAAACATGAATAAAAATATAAAAGAAATCTTATTTTTATACAAATTATTTTCTCAAATCCAGCGATACATGTGCAAGAAAAGTATTGTATTTTCCTTTATATTTCATGAAATTATATGAAAATTTATAAATGTATGTATTTCATTTTTCATTGTAAAAGTCTGTTAACAAGAACTGAAAAAAAAATTTATTTATCCGTTTTTACAGTGATAAATTAACTTTCAAAATGTTCACATGCACGGGTAATATGAAAGATTATATAACCTCCAAATTTTAAAATCTTAAACTTACCTGGCAAAATGTAATCACTTTTTTTGAAATGCAGAGAACATACTCTCATAGAAGGCTTTATACTGTTTATTTTTAAAGCATTTTTCCAGGCCTTTAATTGATCGACTTTTTCAAAATTATCGAACGTATTTTCACATCCACTACTCGTTGTTTTGGTTTCGGAAATTTATGGAAAATTACGCTTAAATTTTTCGCTACAGTACTGCCACAGCCTCTCACAGAACACTTAATTCTGCAGGAAGATTTCTCACGCGGTAAAAATGTAGCTTCATTCATAATGATAAAATAATTAACAATGACAGCGGAACTACAATTGCAAGTGACACAAACAGTTATCCAAAACTAGTTACATTTTTCAACACCAGATGGCATGTGTACGAATGTCAGATCCCAATACCAATTAGCAAACCTTTAGTTAAGAGAGATGAACAATTGTTTATTCATTTATTTATATTTTTTCATAATTTTGAGTTTTTTTTACAAATTTTTTCATAATTTTGAGGTTTTTTTACAAATTTTTTCAAAATAAATTGAAATGTGTTCCTCTAAATTTTTTTTCCAATTTAGTTGTGAAAATATGTAATATCCTGAAAAGAAATTTATAAGAAATCTTTTCTGTTTGTAATTGTACTGATTTTTCTCAAATAGTGAAAATATGTGAACAGCGGGTTTTTTATGTTAAATAATTGATCGATGACGATTTCCAAGAGTGCTACTCTTATTTTGAAATAAAAAATTATTTTTTGACAGTAAACATTTGTTTTATTTGTTTTTATTATAAATAACATTTGTTATTTATTTTATTTGTTACTTTATTTTATTTGTCTTGTTAAATTATTTGTACAAAAATTTAATAGCTCATTACTCCAGTTATTTAATACTAATTTTTTATAAATTCATTCATTTTAATGATACTTTAACGTGATGTAAAAAAAAGTTAAAGTAATTGTGAAATTAAAAAATTCGATTCTCTTGTTTATTTTGGAATTTTTCAATAAAAATGTTTTTTTATGTTTTGCGTTTTAAAAAAATTTGAACAAAACATCATTTAACGATAAGAAGTGTAGGAGCATCAAAATACATCAAGAAAATGACCTGAAATTTTTTTTATTTGTAAGTATGAATTTTGAAATTTTTATGAATTATAGATTGAGGATAACTTAAGGCAATAAAGTATAACTATTAATAATAAATAAAAATTCTGTTCCTTGTTCATCAAAACTTTATTTGATTTTTAATTTCAAAAATTCTTATTTTTTTCTTTGCTACAAAAATAAACTTATTCTTTATTTGATTTTTAATTTCAAAAATTCTTATTTTTTTCTATGTAACAAAAATAAACTTATTCTTTTCGTGTCTGATAAACGTTGAATACAAATACTAAAAATACTTGAATGAGTTTTACCAATAAACATTAAACAACTCATTGATAACATATATATATATCAGTTTTTTAGTATTACATCTTATAATAACCTAAAGTAACCATCAGTCGGTTAATAAAAAATTATATTTCACTTTGTTGATACGCGCATGAATATAAAGTGTTTAAAAAACACAAATGTACGATACCTTAACGTTAAACGTTAAATAATTATGTACTTATTATTATATCACACATATGAAAATAAAAATTGTTTAAAGTAACAAAAAGCAAGTGTAACGTATAACGGTTTTATAATTTTTTATGAAACTTAATTATAAAGATTGTTCATTGAACGATAAGTCAATGAAAATCTTGAACACAATGATAATCACATGTATCTTTTTTTCGCTAGGCGTATATAAGTAAACAAATAATTTAAAAAAACTATATTTGCCATTGACAGGTTTTACAGTCTTTTGATCTATTGAAATAAAGTAATACTATGTTGAGCGATAAACGATCATGTAATTGTTGTAGTATCACGCTTATAAAATTAAAAAAACACAAAAAACCGAATTATATAAACAAACTTGAAAAAACTCAACCATGGCCAAAGAGAAAAACTAATGGAATTTTATGCATTATTATCATAATAATAATTACTGCCTTGTCCTCTTCCGAATCCACCTCCACCGTATCCTCCTTTGCCATATGCTCCTCGTCCATCACCTCTTCCTCGACCATTATTTCTTCCTTGTCTTCCAGCTTGTATTGAATTTTTATAGAGGGCTGACAGCATTTGGCGCTTTAGTTTCTAAGAAAGAATAATTTTTATTTTCATGAAAATAATAAATTTTTAAAAATTATTTATCGCCAATAGTGAAATTATTGCAGTTTTTTTCATTTAAAAATAATTAAAATTCAAAATGATTATATTAAAATGATTTGAAATCAACTGAATCTTTAAAATTTTTATTGAAACTCATTCAAAATATTAACTACTCAAAGCTCTTTATCTAAATTATTTTAAAATATTTAAATTCTTAAAGATTTTTATAAATCAATCAGTTTTCTTCTCTTTTTTTAATAGAAACAAGTCAAAAGAAATTGCCGTACGTTGAAAAAATCACATTCGATGAAAAAAATTAAGAAAGTCGTCAAAACGAGCTAGTGTTATGAAAAAATCATGGATAAATTTATGATACTCACCCTCATCGAAGCCATTTCTTCTTCAAATCTGTTTCTTTGCAGTTCGGGATTCCATTCTTCTTCAAAACCTTCCAATTCTTCTAAATAATTTGTTGCAGAGGAAGAAATACGCGGCGCCCGAGAAATAGCTGCTGAAGATGCTATGACAGATGAAGTTGATGAAGAAGGAATAATTGGACGACTTGATAATTGCTCATCCGCCTTTTTTATTCTTCGTTGTGCTTCAATGTATCTTTTTTCATATTCTGCATTCTCCTCAGTTTTTTTTGCAGTTTTAACATCACTTCGGCTTCCATTTCTTTTGCAGTAGCTAATCTCTCAGCCTCCAAGACTTTTTCTTTCATAAGTTGAAGTTCAGCATCTTTGTCTGCGGCTAAAAGCTGATAATAATCAGCACGCTGTTGAGCAGTTTGCTTATTATCAGATGAATCTTTTTTTCCCGAATTTGTGTCGTCCCTATTTTTAAATTCTACAACTTCCACTTTATTTTCGTCTGACTTTTCACCCCCTGAACCGTTCGCTGTTGACTTGCCACCGGCTGATCCTAAAATTAAATATTTTATTACAAATTAAAATATTAGGAATATATTTAAAAATTGAAAAAATTTATTATTATCGACTGTCTACAAAAATTAAATTTTTTTTAAAATATAATTAGGAATTATAATTTATTTTTAAAACTTTAAAAACCTAATATAATATTGAGAAGAAAAAATGGTTTATTTTGTATAAAAAACAAAGTTTGGAAATACATACTTCTAGTGTTTCGTGGAGTCATCTTTGTTTTTCAGATAGCCTACAGAAAAATCATCAGTATTATTAATAAAAATTAAAAAAATTCTATTTATAAAATAAATTTCAATTTTTTTATTAATAAATGTTATAATAATTTTAAAGTAATGGAAATTAAGTAAGCAATAAATTTAAATTTACTTAAAATTGAAATGATAAGTTAGAATAATAATAATTATCAGTCAAAAGCTGTTTTAAAACACGTGCATAACCTATAAGTTAACGTTGATTTATGAAATAAGTAATATGAAACACAATTTTGTACTAAAAAAATTGACAACTTTGTCAAAGCACACATAAAAAAATTAAGTAATAATTTCAAATGTGTTAAATGCGTAATTTACTTTTTTAATTACATAAAATTGCCTGAGTATGAGAAATAAAAAGGAATGTTGTATGGCAAACGGAAGTTAAAAATCAAAGTATAGTTCTAAAACCGAGACTTTTATCATATCACTTACAAAATTTTGTGTATTTATATCGACGAAGTAAAGTTGAAAATAAATAAAAACTATACTTACTTTCTTATGACGAAAATTTTAATGTATTTACGCGAGAGCACACATGAACGCAGTAAACTTCTGAACCAAAATCTTCTTCACGTACAATTTCATCAACTTTGCAAGTTTTCAATTAGCGTCTTCGTAGAAATTATGACTCTCTGATTGGCTTATACTGGCTGCCTATGCAGGCAGATGGAGGTATGCAAGAGCCTTTAAGGAGCTTCTACAATAGCTCCGTTTGCAGTGATGGGTTGTGACGCGTCACACGAAGCTTTGTACGTATAATACGTTTTCGACGTAATATACGTATAAAATGTATAAAACCATGTAGAAAACCACTGACATTTTGACATCTATATATGATCCTCTGATTTTTGCCATAACGAATTTTTCTATTCTTTTTTTTAAGAGCTTTGTTATTGTTTATAAAGTTTTGATTTAAAAATTGTTTATTTTGGGAGATACCAAACGACTAGACTGACAATATAATACTTAGAATATAGGTTATGTTATTATGCACGTGGCCCGGTGTTCACTCTTATCTGTGAAACCAACTTAGAAATAAAACCGATATAAAAACAATTTTGTTTTATAATTGTTAAAATAATTAATAATTACCTAAATTTTGTTTATATTAACAACTTTCTCTTTCAATAGTGTAAAGTAATGAATGATGTATTTTAATGAAGAATTTAAAATTGCCGCTCTTAAATCACGTGATCAAATGTAATATACATCGTGTAGAAAACTTGGCACGTAATATACGTAGTATTATACACGTAGAAAACCACGTATTATACGTCATGTATTATACGTGCCCATCACTGTCCGTTTGGCAACTCCAAGTCCAAGTCGGTTGGAGTTGGTTGCGCACGCATGGTGTTGCCAACTGTCGCCGAGTTGAAAATGAAATCTTTGTGATTGTGATCATAAGATACTGTGCAGTGAAGATAATTCCTTTTTTTTAATTAATATATTCGTTGTTTTTTAATTATAATTAAAAATTATACTTTTAATAAAAAATTATTTCTTTAACATCTGAGTTTTATTATTAAGAATATAAAAAAATAAAAAAAAGCTAACCTCTTATTTGAAAATCGCATTCTCATATTTGTCTCTTTGCAATTTTACAAAACGTTGGTAACTCTACAAAACATACCGTTTTTTTACAAACCGTTGGTAACTTTACAACGTCTGACGTGGTCCATTTTTCGAGTCACGTTGGACGTTGTAAAGTTACAACGGCATTTTTCTCAGTGTGCTCACGAAATAGTTGAGGTTATGTACTTTTGAAGCTGTAAACACGCTGTAAAGTTTAATAAATTATTTGTTGTTGTTGCTGTTGATGTTGCCGCCGTCTCATCGTTTTTTAAAGAGAAGAAAAATATAAATTAAATTAAATTTTTCTTTTATAAACAACAAAAATTTTTTTCCTAAATAATACACACATGCAATGAATTTTATATTTGTAATATATAAATATAGTAATAAAGAAATATACAATAAATGAGATGAACTGTCAATACAAAATTTTTTTTATGTTTTTTATTGACATTATAATAAAAGTTTTTCATCATTTTGATTTCACAGTATATTAAAAAGGTATTTTCATGAACATAACCTTACAATATTTTTTGCTTATTTTAATATTAGAGAATGCAGATAATTTTCAAAGTTTAATATTTTATGAATGAATTTTTTCGTCTAAAATTCATTGAATATAATTACTATATGTGATAATTCTTTAAAAAGTTAATTTCTTCATGCGTTGCCACAATATTTTTGTAATCCAATTTCCTGAATTCTCCATTTTTCCATGTAAATAATAACTTTTTCCCTGACAAACAGATTTCTTATTAGAAGAAAAAAAAACATTTAAGACTCTACAAACATTTTAAACACTATAATCTAAATACTCTAATCTGAATTTAATTCTGAAAATAACATTAAAATAATATAGTAAAATAATCTGTTAATGAGTATATTTTTTTATTATTATATTTATATATATTACTATATATATCACGCACAATTTTTTTTTTCATTTTCAACTCGGCGACAGTTGGCAACACCATGAGTGCGCAACGAACTCCAACCGACTTGGACTTGGAGTTGCCAAACGGAGCTATTGTAGAAGCTCCTTTAAGGTGGATGTATAGTAGGTGCAAAAGCCAAGTGCAAGTGACAATCTCATGAGTCAAAAAGAGATAGGTAGTCTATCTATCTCTCTTACACTCATTGGATTTGCATTTGGACTTGCACTAGTACTTGGCTTTTGCAGGTATTGCAGAACTTCCTTTAATGTGCAAGCAAATTTTCCATCAGCAAGAAAAGTGCGCGGTTTTTAAAAATTATTTGATCATAAAAAAGGTTTTTTTATTCTTTATTAATCACAATGCACTTGAACATAATAATAAATGTTATGAATAATATTAATAATGCAGACATTGATTTTTAACAACTTTATTAAAAAATATTTATCACAAATGAATCTTTTCTAATGAGACTGTGCTACTTCGACCAATCGTTGACTACCTTCCACCGCGCATGCCTGCATAGCTAGCAGGGTCTGTGTGTCTATCGGTGAGTGTCGCATGTGTAACTTGTTTTGACTCGAGTTTTTGCCGGCTACCAGTTTTCGTGTTGAATTAAATATTTTGGTATTTACGAAAATTGTGATGTCAAATATAGTGTGTAAAAGTGTTATTAGTGATCAGTAATATTATAATTGTACCAGTTGTGATTGTAGCGGTTATCTAAATTTTAATGTGCTAATATTTTAATCAATGTTAGGTCAATTATTATAAATTTTAAACAATCAAAAGTTAAAATATTTTAAATGCAAGTCAATTTAAAATTAAATTATTATACAGGTTATAATTAATTAAAAACTTGAATTATTTCAAATATTATTCAATTTGTAATAATTAATTAATTAATTACATTCAACATTTCCTGACAGAAATTTTAATCAGTAACCTAGATGCAATTTATTAAAATTTTGAACAATAAGAATTAAAATAATTTAAATAAATTTTAACGAATTTAAAAATCAATTATTTAAAATTTTAATAAATTTCAGTCATTTTTCATTCATTCTAGCCAAATTTTAATGCTTTTTTCACAAGTTTATCAGTTTTTAAACATAAACAAAAAAAATAAAGTATTCTTAAATTTTATCATGTTTCTTTATCATAAAACAGGGTGTTCCTATAATTCTGACCGCTATATCAATGTTTAAATAGATATTAAATTTTTAATATTTAAATCAATTATTTTAGGATAACAAATACAGGAGCAAGGTCTGGATGGAGTTGATATGTCCAACTTACGCGTAAAAATGAAGCCGAAGAAATGATAGTCACCAATTGTGTATTTGCCGAAAAAAGCGGGAGGATCGGGAAGAATACAGTTCCTCTTTTGCAAGAAGAAAGCAAGAAATACACGTTTTTTATAGAAATGCGGGCAAAGTTTTTGCGGGTAAGTTATCCATTATAGTTTACATCAAATTTGCAAATTTAATACTCTTTCTATAAATTTTATTTTATAAAAAAATTTGTTTAACATTTGTAATTAATTCACAGGAGCTCTGACTGCGGAAAATTTGGAGAAACTGGCTGTAGAAAAATTATTTCTACGAAATCGTACGACCAAACAGTCCAATAATATCAAAATCATAGGAAAGATTGTTACAACCAAGCAATCTCAATATTCGCAGAAATAGGTATTTAATCATTAAAAAATTCTGTATAGAATATTTATTATGTCTATTTTTAAAATCTAAAAGAAATTGTTTAATCATGAAAATTCCTGTTTCAATTAGTTATCATTAAAAAATTGAAATCTTTCAGGTAATAGGATAAATAAAAGACTATGTCTAAGAACTCCTTGATTCTTTAGCAAACTGCTCTTCAATTGCATAAAGAAAAACGTGACAATGAAACTAAGAGAGGTAAATATTTTTTCTACATTATTAATGGTTGTTAATATAATTAAAATCACAATTATTAACAATTAAATTTTATTCATTTTAGTGTTTCGCGTATGCAGGGTCAGGAATTACCGCCAAAATTTGATAAATCATTGGCGAACCGTTTGCAGAATCTCCTATAAATTAAATCGTGCATCGTTGGAAATGGAGATATTATTTTCATCCTTATTACTATTTATTGCCTCCAGGATCATCCGCTGTTCATTATTTAGACAAGTAAGTTGTTAATTTGATTTTATTTATTTATTTTTTATCCCACGTGAACAAAAATTGCGCCTTTAGATAGCTGACGCCAGGCCGTAAAGTCATTCATTTATTCGACAGTACGAAATTGCGTTCCATTTCATACAAGTTAAACAACTGAATTACTTTCACTTCCTGTCTTCTGCTATCTGAAATCGACACTTTTATGCATTTGGAATAAACAATATCCTAAGTAATACTGAAATAAATGGCTGCCTTCGTTCTTTTATTGCTTAATATACTATTACA